CATATCCTCGGTGTTGGATGCTTCACCGGATCTATCCTCCATGGCGCTGATTCCTCATGTATGTATGTCAACCCATGCTCAATCACGGTCACCGTCTCATCAAACTCCCACTTACACCTTTCGTTCTGCTCGATCATCTCAATAGGCTGGATATTAAGGCTCAAGACATGCTTCAGTGCATCTTTACTCAGTACCCATTTCATACTGGAAGAGATAAGACAAGGTCCAGCTTCTATCGACACAAGAGCGGGAAGAACGACACATTTTTTAGCTCCAGCAGGTACAGTATGGGGTACAACAGGCTGAGTATGGGGCACCCCCGTACTGGCCTGCTTCGACTTTGTTTTCTCTATACTCGTGATTTTCTCGTTCTCTGGCTCTTTTGTACACTCTTCAGGTTCCTCGAGGTCCTCGCTGAATGAATGGGTGACTCTTGAACTCATTGGACTTGTTTCGAGCCGACACACTAGTTGGTCCATTTGTTCCGCCAGTTGGCTCATTTGAACTTGTAAATTCCTTATGCGCAGTCTTTGGCTCTCGATGCTCTCCTCTTGGTTCTTGATGCTCAGTTCTTGGCTCTTGATGCTAGCCTCAACGCTTTTCTGAAAGTTAAGGGTATGAGCCGTCAACTCCATCATCATATCCTCGAGCGACGGACCAGGATCTCTCTCAACAATGGGCTCGCAGAACTCTTGCCGAAATTTCAATGTGTTTAACCTGAATGCCTCTACCATATCCTCCACAGACGGGCTGGGATCTCGCGCAATTGGTGGCTCGGAGTACCCAAGGAAAGAGTTTGAGTGCTCTCCCAAGCCGTATCCATACTCATCGGTATAGAAGTAGTCTTGCTCATTCCTTCGCCAACCACTAGGTCCTCTTACGCTTTGATCTCCAATCCACGGACCTCGTATCTCCCTCTCATACTGGTAAGGTGTCTGGTGGGTATAAAAGTTGTGATAATAGGCTGCCATCTCAAAAAATTGCGCCAAGCTCGATCAAAAGCGCCAATTAACCCGCGAGTATGAGGTCAAACTTTTCTGTCCAGCAGAGTACTGGGGCGCCCAATATTCTGCAAGTAAACAAAAACAAAGGAAAAGAGGGGGGTAAATGATGATAAAAATAAAATTCTAATAAAATAAAATAAAATAATTCAATTAGTACGTAAAAATCACAATTCAATAACATTAAATATATAGAATACACACTTTTTCCGACAAATCAAGTACAAAGACAAAACCAACAGAGGATATGCAAATCAAGTGGACAACACTGGGAAGTTGCCAAAAGGAATTGACATGGCTAGCTTGGCACAAGAGTTGATGAAATTTATGGGAGGAAAACAGAGAATTGAGCAAGACATCTCAGAGGGAAAAAATTTTGCTGGTAATGTTGCTAGCCTAAACTTTCATTTTGCATTGTCTATGTTTGAGGATATAGGTAAAGGTTCTTGGATTTTGGACACTGGTGCCAGCAAGCACATGTGCACCAATCATTCTTTGTTGACAGATTTAAAACCCTTAACCAAACCTATATCTGGTTACTTACCTGATGGAACACTCAAAAAGGTCACTCATACAGGGAAAGTCAGAATAAATGATTCCATACTTCTAAAGGATGTCTTGTACATACCTACCTTTAAATTCAACTTACTATCTGTTTCACAATTGGCCTCAGATTCCAGCATACAATGCATTTTTACTCCTGACCACTGTTCATTGCAGGACCTTAAAGATTGCAAAGTGGTAGCAGAAGGCAAGATGATAGGAAACTTGTATGTACTCAGTCCAACTTGTACTCCTTTACCTCAGAACAGAAATCTTAGTTTGACTGCTTTACCCTGTAAAAATTCCCTTGAAAATTGGCACATAGTATTGGGCCATGCCTCTGTTAGTACTTTGAGACATTTGAATTTTTTGAGACCTTATTTTTCTGATGAGAATTTAATTGCTTTAAAATCTTGTGAGGTGTGTGCTAGAGCTAAACAACACAGAGATCCTTTCCCTATTTCTTCAGTCAAGAGTGTTTCTGTGTTTGACATCATACACATAGATCTTTGGGGACCTTGCAGTGATGATAATATGAAAGGTGTTAAATATGCCTTGACTATAGTGGATGACTTTAGCAGAGCCACTTGGCTATATTTGCTCAAACACAAAACTCAGGTCCCTTTCACTATATCTTCTTTCATTTCTCTTATTCAAAACCAGTTTCAAAAGACAGTAAAGGCTGTTAGAAGTGATAATGGTTTAGAGTTTGTGAGTCAAGAATGCCAGAACATTTTTCATTCCTTTGGCATTGTCCACCAAAGGACTTGTGTTTACACTCCCCAACAAATCGGGATAGTTGAGAGGAAGCATAGGCATCTCCTTGAAATTGCCAGATCACTTATGTTTCATTCTAAACTGCCTATGTTTCTGTGGCCAGAATCATTGCTCACTGCCACACACATTTTATACAGACTTCCCAGTTCACTCTTGAAATGGAAAACTCCATATGAAATTCTCTATGGGCATGTTCCTGATTACTCCCTTTTGAAACCTTTTGGTTGTCTTGTTTTTGCAGCAAACACTGAACCTCATAAAGCCAAATTCACCACAAGGTCTCATAAGTGTGTGTTTTTGGGATTTGAAACTGGAAGAAAGGGTTTTAAACTCTTCAATATGGATACAGGGAAAGTCATAGTGAGTAGGGATGTGCAGTTTTCAGAAAATCTTTTTCCCTACCATCAAGATGTTGATACCCCAGATGTACATATTCCTTTGCCTAATGTACCTCTTGCTGACTTTCAACCAGATTGCCCTAACCCATTGGTTCCACCATCAACAAGCCCCACCATTCCTCCACCTCAAACCAGACCTATAAGACAGAAAACCAAACTAGCTTGGCTTAATGATTACATAACTTGTTGTTCTGATTCTCATCTTGCATCTGCTACCATGGACCAAGGCTTTAAGGTATTCCCCTTACATAACTCTCTTCCTATTTCTTTGCCATACACTGAGAATACCAGTTATACTGCAAATTATCTAGCCTTTTTGCATAATGTGTCTGTTATCCAAGAACCTGCATCTTATACTCAGGCTAAGGCTAATGTTGAATGGGTTAAAGCAATGCAGCAAGAACTAGATGCTCTAGAAAAGAATGAAACTTGGGATTTGGTTCAGCTGCCAGAAGGAAAAAAGCTCATAGGTAATAAATGGGTTTATAAAGTTAAAAGGAAAGCTGATGGGACAATAGATAGATTCAAGGCTAGACTAGTAGCTAAGGGGTATACACATGTTTATGGAGTTGATTATGTGGATTGCTTCTCCCCTGTAGCCAAGCAGGTCACTGTGAGATTATTTTTGGCTATAAGTGCAGCAAAAGGTTGGCCACTTTGCCAAGTGGACATTAATAATGCCTTTTTACATGGTAGCTTAAAGGAAGAAATTTACATGGTCTGTCCTCAGGGGTATACCAAGCAGAGAGCAGGTGAGGTCTGTAGGCTCAAGAAGAGTCTTTATGGGCTTAAACAAGCCTCCAGAGAATGGAATCATGAGTTTTGTGATAAGCTGTTGCTTTATGGTTTTTCTCAGTCTACACATGACCATTGTTTGTTCATTAAAGGTTCAGGGGATAATTTTTTGGCTTTATTAGTGTATGTTGATGATGTTCTCATCATGGGGCCTTGTCTGCAGTTGATAGATGATCTCAAAGTCTATTTGGATAAGGAATTCACTATTAAAGATTTGGGATTTGCTAAATTTTTCCTGGGAATTGAAATTGCTAGGGGTGATAAAGGCACTTATTTGAACCAGAGAAAGTACATCTTGGATCTATTGCATGATGTTAAAATGGACAACTGCAGAACAGCAATCACTCCCTTGCCTCATGGATTGGTTTTGAAAGGAAAGACTGACAGCCCCTTACTTGAAAGAGATTTGTATAGAAGGTTGGTGGGGAGACTACTGTACTTAAACCTCACAAGGCCTGATATTTCTTTTGCTGTCCAGCAGTTGTCACAGTTTGTTATTGATCCCTATTCCTCTCATTGGGATGCTGCCATGCATGTGCTAAGGTATTTGAAAGGCACTCCTTCTTTGGGACTTTTTTATCCAATGTCCTCTGATTTTCATTTTAAAGCATACTGTGATGCTGATTGGGGCACCTGCCCAGACACAAGAAGATCATTAACAGGGTTCTGCATTTTTATGGGTGACTCTCTCATCTCTTGGAAAAGCAAGAAACAAACTACAGTCTCTAAATCCTCTGCAGAGTCAGAATATAGGGCCTTGAGTGCCACTTCCTGTGAGTTGCAGTGGTTGGTTTACATCTCTCAAGATCTGCAGTTACCTATTCATCTCCCTATCCCTTTGCATTGTGACAACCAGTCAGCCCTCTACATTGTGGAAAATCCAGTTTTCCACGAGCGCACCAAGCATTTAGAGATTGATTGTCATCTTGTCCGCAACAAATTCAAGGATGGTCTACTTCTTCCTTGTTACATTCCCTCTTCACTGCAGATTGCTGATGGCTTTACTAATCCCTCGGGGGTCATCCTTTTCGGGTTATGGTTGGCAAGTTGGGATTGACAAACTCCATTTGTCATCCCACTTGAGGGGGGTGTGTAGAATGTATAGGTGTTCTTTTCTTAGCTGTTTTTTAGTTGCTTTATCTTAGTCAACCACTCAGTCAACACTGGTGGCTTTCTTTTTTGGTTCACTATAAAAACCCAAAATACTGTATTTTACTCAGTTGATTAATATGAGAAAATG